TACAGGAATGTGGGCACAGTCCTTGTAGACATGACATCTGCCTCCTCCTGCTATCAGCAGGCCACAAGGTCAGGGCACCCTGCTGGCCTCCCTGCCCTACAAGGATAGCCTAACAGTGAGATGTCTGTTAAGGTCTCTGCCTATTTTTTCAATTGGGCTATGGGGGTGTTGTTGTTGTTGAAGTTTAAGAATTCTTTGTATATTAAAATTGATAAATCATATATGAATTATGTCTTTGCAAATATTTTCTCCCAGTCCGTTTCTTTTCTTCTCATTGTCTTGACATTGTTTTTCATCAAACAGAATTTTTTCATCTTAATGAAGCCCAGCTTATCACATTTCTTTGGTGCTGTATCTAACATGTCATTTTCACACCCAAAGTCATCTAAGACTTTCTTGTTACTTTCTAAGATCTTTTAGTTTTGCATTTAGGTCTGTGATCCACCTTGAGTTAGCTTTTGTGATTAGCATAAAGTCTCTGTCTAGATTAATTTTATTTGCATGTGGATGTCCCGTTGTTCTAACATTATTTGTTAAAACAACTATTTGTTCCATTGCGTTACTTTTGCTCCTTGTCAAATGTTGTCCAATTTTTCTAATAGGACCCTTAGCATATTAAACGTGAGTTATTTTAAATTATAGTTCTGAAAATTCCAAAATCTCTGCCACATCTGAGTGTGCGTCTGATGCTTAGGTTGTCTCTTCAGACTATATTTTTAGTCTTTTAGTATGCCTGGCAATTTTTGGCTGAAAATTGGACATGCTGTGATGGTTTTAAATAACTGGTAACTGAGGCAGATGGAAAGTTCTCTGTTGATCTGACTAAGAGTTAAGCTGTGTTTACTGTTGCTTAGCTGTGGTGTCAGAGGCTTCAATTTCCTCTATTGTTCTTTTTCTTATTCTCCCTTTGTTGTCTTTGGGTGACCCTAGAGATTCCTTTTGTAGGGTCTGAAATTTCTAGCTCTTTAGCTATAATCCCATTATTATACAGGAGAGACCTGTTGATATCGTAGTAAGGTATGAAGAAAGGGGGCAAATTCTATGAAGAGATCAAGATCTTTTAGTGTCCCTGAGTTGGTTATTTCCTCTTTGCCAGGTCAGTTAGGCTCTGGAAAAAACCCCAGTTAGTTGGGCTTTGATAAAATTGTTTTCCTTGTTAAGGACAATAGAGAGGTCTGAGTATATTTCAGAATGGATATTGTTCCTCTTTGCTTACCACAAGGGAATTTTTCTCTAGTCTTCACAGTAAGAACCTAATAGGTCTCATGAAGATGAAACTTGTTAAATGAGTACAACTGGGCCCCCTTGGATATTTTAGCTTGTATGCTTGTCCACACTAAGCCTCTAGCAATCTATCATTACATATTTAAAGTGTTTTTACTATAAGCTTCTAATTCTGGCAAGCTTTGATTCTCTGTCTCTTCTTTTAGAACAGCAAGTTTGCCTTGTGAGCATAATTCTCTGGATGGACTTAAGAACTGTTGATTTTAAGTTGTTAGCTTCCTCCTTGCTGTGAGTACAGGAGTGATGATTTCCAAGCTCTTGACATGTCAAAACAGAAACTAGAAGCATATTTATTTTTAAATTTTAAAAATACTTTTAGAAAAACATGAATCTATCTTCCTGCAGTTTCAGTCTACTCTGAAACACCTATGGGCTATATGACCTCCTACAATATATTTAAACCATATTTATAAACTAAACACACTAATATCTACTTTATAAGATCTAAATGATATATTAATGATATGTATCAATTATATAAGATCATATTTATTTAACATATAGGGGTATATATATTTATACACACACATCAGTTATCTTTAATTACTATGTCATTTATCCTCATCAGAACCCAAGACCTAAAATAGAGACAGTATATAGAGTATATAGAGTTTCCTAATTTAGCATATAAAGAATCAGAAGAAAATTATCACTTGCTTTGTGCTCAGCTTTTGGTTTGAGTCAGCACCGAATCTGGCTAGGACTAATGCTGACCCCGTGGTCGTGATTTATTTACAAGACCCCCTTTTTTTTAAAAAACCCCTTTTACATAATGTCAGATGATGAATTTCCTGCCCATATTTATCAAATTCTCTCAGGTATCAAGTTCATTCATTTCAAAACAATCCCAGGGACTGCCCAGTTATCTGTCCCACTCTGATGCATTTGTGGTTTTTGCCTGCAGAAAGCATGATGATTACAAATAAAGAGAATTGGAATGATAGAGAATTGCAGCTTGTTACCATAGAAATAGGCATGTGACAGTAGGAGTGCTCTGAGTATGTATGAATGAGATTCTGGAACAAATAGAGAAAAATAATTTAATGTAACTAAAAGGTTCTAGAACTCAAGCAAGAAAGGTTACTGCTTTCACTCTAGGTCAGCATGCTCATTATAGAGCAGCTCTATTTCTTTGTCATTTTCTCTCTAGAAGCTAGAAAACTACAATGGCCTCTAGAAAGAAATTGACATATCAGATGCAGAGTCAATGCTTAGAGCTTTATGTTGAAACTCATAAGAACTATTCACTAGCCGAAGTGAAATATATCAGAATGAGCAGGAACTTTTGTAAACTGTTTAAATGATGCACTGATTAGCACTTGTGGGTAATGTAATACAATCTAATCACAACCCTAACTATACTTTTTCAGCCTTATTTTTTTGCCAAAGGATGTGCCAAATGTTCTCTAAGTAGATCTTCTCTGAGAGCCTTGAAGTGCAAGAAAGGACTTATGTTGAGCCCTTGCTGCTCTCATCACTCTTCACATCATGGTCATTTCGAAATTTTTTTTCTTTTTTCGTTTAGTTAGTTCCAAACTAAACAGTGTATACCAAAAATCTATGCCAGGTTAATTAAAGAACTAAATATAAAAAATGAAATCCTACAAAAAACTAGAAGAAAATGTAATCTGTTACCCATATAATGCTGGTAATACAACATAGCTATTGACATAGAAAAAGTTGTCAAAGATTTTTATTTTATCTAATTTCATTAAAATGCATATTTGGATACAATAAAATTGTAGACAGAAATACAATATTAATAATGGCTTTTTGTACATTGTTAAGTAAGCTGTTTTCTCCTTTCTGCTCCCCTTTTTTAGGTATATCTGTATATCCATATGCATTTATAAGGTCTGTTTAATTATTATCTCTAATGTAAAAGTAATAGAAGTTAAACCACATTTGAACTTTTCTTTCCCTATTTTTACTTATGGATTTAAGTCATATTTCCTCCAGGAAGTTTTGTGTTTGTATTTGTTTTTTAACCAACTAGCCATTATAATTCCTTCGTGTTCCCCTCATTAGTGATTTCCAACTATCCAACTATTCTTTGAGAATTTATAATATTCCATTATTTGTTGTGCTTACCTTCCACAGGCATGCTCAGTAAGGACCAATAATTTGTTGATAGCCTGATTTCCTCAAAGACTGCTTTGAAGTTTGACTATAGCAGTGCTAACCCTTTAACCAGCTGAAATGATCAGAAACTTAGGACTATTTGTCTAAAGGGCAATATGGTTTCATCATGATGCTCTCCCAGGCTGAGGTAGCTGCCCAACTGACAGTGCTGGGCTTTTTTGTATAAATCCTTCCCCAAAACTCTTTCTTGTTAAAGGAGGTAGCCCTTCTCATGTTGAGTTCCTGCCACTTAGTCAGTAGTTTCTGTGCTTCCTAGCTGTACTTTTCTGTCAGAACCTCCATATTTAAAAAACATAATGGATAAGTAGAAAGGAAAGTAGACAAAGGACTAGGAGAGGAAAAGGGGGTGGGGAAGGCTAAGCAAATGGAAAACCATGACCTCAAGTGTAGTAGGTTGCTGAAGCCAACCTAAAACATCCCCTGCCTATAATAATGTTTACTGTTGCACATGAAACTAGTCTGCCAGGGAAGTCTACACAGGCATTGTTTTTTCGGGGACCTTTGAGCTCCAATGGCCACACTGGCAACCCTCCAGATTAAAGACTTGATTAACTTTGACTGAAGCAGCTGAGATAGAGCCTCTGCTAGAGCCTCTTCTTGTAGACATCATTGCAAGGATGAAGTTAAACAATAGAGGACAGTAGGGCTTTTTCATAAACTAAAAATAATATGCAAATGTTCGGTATTCTTTTTGTAAGTGCCTGAGGGCACTGATGGTGGCTTAATGTTGTCTTCATGGGATATCAGAACAAATTTCAAATACCTGTATCTAAAGAAATGTCAAGTCTACCTAAGGAATAAAGAGAGCGGAGTTCCCAGGAGGAAGACCCTAAATTGTGTATGTCTGTGGACTGGTTAGCACCTAACCATATAAGAAAAACTAGGGTTTTCTAAGTGCCCCAACTGATTAAAATTGTTGGCTTTAGAAGTAATTCACAGGAAAATGTTTGTAATTTCGCTACTGAAACTGTCTAATATTCTTTTAAAGTATCTGTTAACACAGAAAATGATAGTGGGAGTGCGTGAGTCCCCACACAATTACACACAGGTGAATTAGAGTTGCACTGTTTTAATAAATAGCAGTTTAATTCATGATAAGGAAAGTGACTAAAAACTGAACTGCCACTGCTCTGCTTCTTCCATGACAATGACCCTTTTTTCCTTCCAGCTTCAACGCATGATGCTTCACATCAGTTCCTCACCTGAACTCATGACTCTTCAATCTCAGGACACGCAGAATTAATGGGATGCCGTCCTAAGGTTGTTGAGTTCTGCGTTTGGGAGCATTTCATCTCTTTCCAGAAGTACCCATTCCCTCAATCCAAAGAACTGAGCCTGAAAGATTTTTCTCCTTAGGGAAGAATCTTCCTTGTAACTTTGTTACAACAGTTAGAAAATAGAAGCAAACTGGGGAGGTTTGATAATTGGGAGATACCTTGCCAATAACCTGACCCTTGGTGTGGGGCGCCCCCAAATTTGCAGTGTCTTGGGGATCCCTCCTGTGACTGTCTCGGAGAATAATCACTTTCCATCACTTTCCAGTGACTTAATTTTCTATCTTGTCTTTCCAACAGGTCCAGTTAAAAACAAGAAAAAGGGTAAGTTTAGCTCCTGATTTTATTAAGCTTCTGTCATGTCTTTTCTAAAATTAAGAGAAAAAAGATCAGGGCAAGGGATTTTTATATCTTTTGGTGCTAGTTATACATTATTTTATCCAATCACACATTATATTCCTGAGCATTGTAGCTTCCACAGGAGAAGAAATAGAAATTGTTCTTTGGTGATAATCCATGAAAGATAAAATTGCTTCCCTAGCAACATATGAAAGTTTTGTTTGTTTGTTTGTTTTTCTTTCTTGCTCCCTCTTCCATGCAATTCAATTCATATGTGTTTCCTTTATCCTTCCTCCCTTTTTCCCCTGTCCCTTCTTCTCCTTTTTAAAAATCTCCTTTATCACATTAGCGATCTGGTATGAATGAAGTTCTGAGACAATTTGCAGGGGCTTGCTTGGTATACTGCCACCCAAGATGTCAGTACCCTATTTATTTGTCTAAAAGCTGTTCCTGTCCAACTTCTCACACAGGGAACATATTTCTTGATTTGGAGTTTCAATACCATTTTTCTCTGTGATGGAAAAACTCGGCTGGAGTATCTTTTAGTCTTTTCAAAGAAACTTCTAGTTGAGTGGTTCCATTGTACCTTTGTTGGGTCAGAAAGTCCCTTGTGTACTTGTCATGACCCAAGGGCTTGTACAAGTGCTTGCTTACCTGAAGAGGAGAACACAAAGACAGAAAAGGTTCTGAAAAATAGGATCAGGAAATATGTTCTCAAAGAACAAACTATAAAACCAGCTTAAGTGACTGTGTTCTGTTTCCATGTACTGACCTGGGAGGGGAATACAGTGAAATTAAAAGAAATGTATGTGAATGTCTTAAGTTAAATGAGTCTACCTATTAAAATTTCTAGAGCCTTGTGGAGATTATTAACCCCACATGAGGCCAAAGGCTGGCTCTTGCTACTGCCTGCCATTTCTCTGAGCACTAGGGAACTCTGCCTTGAGCTGCCATTATCCATTTGGAAAACCTGCATCCCTGACACATTCTCTGAGTAATAGCCTGGCCTCCTGAAGCCCTGAGCTGAGCAAAGTTAGAAAATAGCCAGAGAGCTGGAGTCGGTAAGGAAAGCTTTCTCCATGGGGCCTGGGCATTCACCGAGATACCCTATCTGTTAAGAAAGTGAATTTGACTGCAAGCATGTAGTTTTTAACTCTTGGCATATCCCTTTAGAAGAAATCATGACATGCGTGGGAGCTCATCTGGCTGAAATGAGAATACCACTGTCTGCCTCTGACACAAGCCCAGGGATGACCTCCCTTCTTAATAGGTGCATTGGAGTGTGCTTTCTGGGTACAGTTACTCATTTGTTTCCCCATTCACTCATTCACCAGACAGTAAATAATCATCTCATATCTGTTAAGAACAGAGATCCAAAAATGGAGAAAAATGGTTCTTGTCCTCAACATTCTCCTGGCGGAGCTGGAATTGTGGATGTGCACCAAATAATTACAGGGCAGCATAAAACAATACCATCACAGAAGCATGAACAAGGGTCTGTGTGAGCACACAGAAGGAACAATTAGTTCTCTTTAGAGGGGTGAGGGAACATATCACAGAGACAGCTGTATTTGACCTGGACATTAAAGTATGAGCAAAGAGAGGGTGAAGGACATTCCAGCAAAGGGAGCAGCATACTCATATCTCACAGAGGCATGTACAGGGCACCAGATAGTGACTCAGTAGATGTGGGGCCTGTGTGTGGTCGGGAGCAGCACCCAGTTGTAGTGTTCTACAGTGGGTGAGCACTGAGAAGACACTCTGCGAGGAGCAGTAAAAGGAGTTAAAGGAGCTTCTAGGCTAGAAGCACTGGAAACACAACTCAGAGAATCCAGAGCCTCTGGCAGGGACTCAGATCACTTCCCTTGCATGGCTACCATATATGCAGTCCATTGTTGGGAGGAGAGTGCACATAGGCCTTAAACACTTACTTTAGCTGAAAGTGATTTTGAAGTCATTTAAAATAGATTTTGTTGGACAGTGAATAGGCACATTCATGTAGAGGTAAATGGAGTTGTTCATCAAATTTCCATAGGTAATGGACTTTTCACCTGCTATAACTCACTCACCAAAATGAGCGCTTGCCCACTGTCATTCTCTCTCTGTTTCATCTCTGTATCTCAATGTACCTTACTTTCTCTCTTGTGGTTGCTCCCTCACAATATGGCTTTGGCCAAAGTATTCTAGAAATGCCCCCTTTGGGAAGATTGGCTTCAAGCAAAAATGTACATATTCTTTCATCTAAGACATAGACATGGTAGCTTTCTGAGCCCAAATGTCTCGGGGCTTCTGTATCATGAAGCACTCTGTTGAAGTGTAGAAATTTGAAGAAGGAATTCATTCCCATCAGTCATTCTCCTGGTCCATGGTTCATCTTGCACAACATCTCTGGGCTACCGTTCTGTAAGCAGGCAAATGATAAATGCACATTGGCCTAAACCTGGGTTGCAGAGAAGCAAAAGGGCAGCTGCAGAGCTAGATCACAGCAGGAGCTTTTTCCCAAATGTCTTCTAACATTTCATAAGTGAACATTCTCTGTTTATATACTACAACCACTATTCTCTTTAACTGGAGGAGTCTCTGGCTGTAATTCTTTCAAAATTACTTTAGCAATCATAGGAGACTCACAGTCTTGACACTGAAGTTTGTGTTACCCACAGAACACCTTCTGGCTCAAAAATCACTGTTGGGCCTGCAAATACACACCATCGTCTGTATCACCCAGAGAGCAATGATAGACAGGAAGACCTTACAACCAGATTAGAGAAGTTCCTGGACAAGTTGGACTAAGTTGTTCCCTTATGGAATATTAGTCTTGACAGGAAATTTAGAGAAATCATCGAGGCCAACCTCCTCATTTCACTGATGGAGAAACTAAGATCAGGGAAAGGAAGGGATTTGCCCAAAGTGCATCCATGGTAGAGCTGGGGCTTACAGCCTTATCTCCTGATTACAGATTCTGTGTTCTTTCCACTACACTAGCTAGAATGGAAACATGAGCACTGAATAAGTCTGACTTGGAAGCTGCCCAAATCTGAAGGAAGATGACTTTCCTGTTCAGCATCTTGAAATTGGCTAACTCTAGAAACAGCAGATCAAATCTTTTGCTGCTAAGTGCAGGGAAAATGCCAAAGCTCTTGCTTCCAGGTCTTTAAGGCTGCAGAGACTGCCTCAGAGGGTGGCTCTCTGAACCTCTCTTCCTTCCTCTTCCTCCCTGTGCAGGGGGCCTCACAAAGACCCCGTTGTTTCATTCCAAGTGCAGATGTGCTTAGACTTGCACTCCTGGCCTCTTGAGTAGCGTTACCATAGGGATTGGGTTTCTTGAACATGTGGTGTTGCTCCTAAAGGAAGACCTAACAAATCAGAACAGGATTCCCCCACCTAAGAATCTAGAAAGCAGAGAATTGGAGCCAGTTAAATGATTAACGTGAGACTTGAGAGGATTGTATTAAAAGTCAGGAAGTATCACACATTTAGTCAGCCCGATGGAGTCAGATGGAAGTCTCCCACTGCTGAGGCTTCCACAACACTGTAAGGGAATGTGAAGGGAGAAAAAGGGCAGTCATCTGTGCCCACCTGCAGGATTGGGACTGAACTACACAGAACAGAGGAAGCGAACAGGGAGAGCGGGAGGTTTTGGTTGATGGCCACAGTTGTGACTCAGTCAACATAACTACATCCTGGTGGGACTGTTGGAAGGACTGGAATATGGACTAGGAGTGAAGAGACTGCCTTGGAGGGATAGTGAGAAGGAGACAGGGAGGAGTCGGTAGATTTGATTAATAATGTGCTCAAGAACAGGGCTTTTGAAGAATGATTCTGGAAAGCTGGATTGTTTAGCCTATAAAAATGGAAGTTGCTGTACTCTGTTTCCTACTTGTTGGGGATCTGGGACAGAAGTGCACCCCACCCCTATTTGTTGCACACACATGTCATCTCTGAGATCCGTAAGTAATGAAACATGTGATCTATGAGCAAACAATGGAGGTTGACAGGTGGCAACATCTTTGAGTATATGAGGGGCATTGTGTGCTTGATGGAGACTATTCTCTGTCTACGAAAAGAATAGAGCAAGGGCTTTAGAACAAGGGCTTAAGCCACTGCAGGACAAAATCCAGTCAAATAATCAGAAGAACTTCCTAACAATGATTGGGTGATAAACAATGGAACATGTTACCAAAGGAGTGTGTGGAATTTCCTTTCCCAGAGATCTTTGAAAATAGGGTTGAGAGAGGTTGTCTGAGAAAGCACATTCTGACTCCTGCCTCCTCTTGAACTATCTCTGCTTCTACCTTCCCTTCTCTCTCTCTCCATCTCTTCATCTCCCTTCCTCCTTTTGCCTCACCTATCTCCACATCCCAACCCCCACCCCTGCCTTTCCCAAACACCTTCCCATTCCTCATTCCCAACTAGCACCACCACCACCCCAACCCCTATTTCCTGTATCCTGACTCCTGTGGGAGGCCTTCCCTGAACTGATGTACCCAAGGTCAAGTTGTTCTCTGAGTGCCTTCTCATTCACTGCAAGTCCACCAAATTGGCCAATAAACATGAGTGTTGCATTCTTCAACAGTAGCCCATTCTGAAAAGAACCACAAAATGACCCATTGGCCTGGCTGCTTGGCGATTCTGATCCTTTGGACTCAATTCAAATACAACCCCCCTTTGAAGCCTTCCCTGACCTCTTCCTCATTTTGTCCTTATTGCTAATATAGAACTGACTATCCTGTGACTCTGGCTCCCCACTAGACTGAGCTCCTTGAGGGCCATTTATTTCTATACTTTCAAACCCAGTTCTGTAATTATTCATGAAAGGGAATGGGGGGGGCAGATGGTGGTGCGCCCATATATGTGCGCCCATATATGTATGTGTGTGTTAGAGAGAGAAATAAAGGTACCTACCTCTTTAACAGCAGGAACTCCCAAAGGGCTGACTGGAAGTGTGCCACAAGTCTGTGAAATCCTGCCAGTAATTCTCTATCAATAATTACAAATATAACACTGAATCTTATTTTTCAGGAAAGAAGGCAGGACCCCCTGGGCCCAATGGTCCCCCAGGACCTCCAGGACCCCCAGGGCCCCAAGGACCCCCAGGGATCCCTGGGATTCCTGGAATTCCAGGAACAACCGTTATGGGGCCACCTGGTCCTCCAGGTCCCCCTGGTCCTCAAGGACCTCCTGGCCTCCAAGGACCTTCTGGTGAGTCCCTCCGTCTCTCCACTCCCAAGTTTCCTACACGTGTTTTAATTGAGCAGGACTGGGTGATCCTGGGAGCGATTTTAAATGGTAGAGATGCCAGTGGTATGTACCAGCAGGGCAGGCCTCCTAAAGGAGTGCAGAGCTAGGGCCTAAAAAGCCAGTAGAGCCTGATCTGCTCTAACTTCCTGTTTTTACTAACTGCTCAAGAATAGGCCTCCTATACATCCATTACAAGTCTTTCTCCCTGACGCAAGCCCTCTCTGTAGTAGTCAATAAACTCTAACGAGCCAGAGACAGAAGACTTGAGGGTTGACTGAAGTTCTTTTGTGAGGTATATTTGATCTATGATGCCCAGCATCTAGCTTCACACTGCTGTATTGCATTAGAAATAGGGAGAAACAATGCAGACCAGACAAAAAGGACAGTCTCAAGAAGAGTTTCATCCCATAAACACTGATGTGGCTTTCCTTAGGCAGATAGTCGCTGATTGTCAAGAGTTGGAAACTTACAAGTTATTCATACTGCAGAAGCAAACCTACACACCAAGACCATCCTGTCAAGGAACCAAGTGCTTTATGTGTTAGAACCCACCACACTGCCCATTCAAATAGATTTAATTCCTTTGAATCTTCCCTTTTGGGCCCTAAAGAATTTCCCAAAAGTAGGGTTGCAGATGATACACCTGCCTGAATTGGAGCTGACACGAGTCAGACTGCCTAGGCTTAAGTCAGTTATTCCTGCTCCTGCCACCTTCCTGTATCTTGGGGACTCGGAGAAATGGGCTCTTTCTAGCTGATTTCTCTAGGTACTAGAATTCTACTGCAGGACTCATATTCTTTGACTTAAAACAGTGCAAAGGCTCAAGGGTCAGATCCATGTCTCCATGCACTCACAATTGCAAGACAAAACTCTGGCTCAGGATGCGATAATATGTATTTTCAAAGGGGAGAGAAAGATAAAGAAATGGGAGCAAAGAAAGACTCTCTAAGGCCAAAAAGCAAACAGTCCTACTCCAGATTGTGCACACAGTGTCCCGTAGTTCAATGCCAAGGCTGCCCATGTAAGATGGCACTGTCCCTTTTACAAGAGCCTGGAGCTAGTGGCACGCTGTTTAGCAGCAGACCAGGAGCCAACCTCATGGTGACAGCTGGAGGTGGTCACAGGTGGCACCGGTAAGATGGCACCACCAGCAGCAATGCACAGGCTAGTCAACAGTGCTGAGCAACAGCACTAGGAGGTGTCAGAGGACCAGAAACAGTGAGCAGCTCGTCGAGATGGCTGGGCACAGGTCAGCAGTGCCAGTCAGCACCCTCACTCAGCAGGTGGTAGTGCCAGAGACAGCGGGCACAGGAGCAAAGGTCAAGCTACAGTTTGAAGCAGAGATCAGAGACCAAACAAATCTCCCCAATGAGTCTGTCTGCAAAGATTTGAGTCCAGATGAATCTGTGTGAAGCTGTCCGATGAGTCCCCCAAAACCTTGACTTATGTCCCCTTGAAGGTCCCCACCTTTCTAGCCTCATTGGTCCATTTACAATTCCAGTTGTTAGTGTCAGTCAAGCTCAAATCAGATTGGTCTGTTTACACCCCTGAATGGTCTCTAGAACCTACAATAGCACCTGAGAGTGCTCCAACCTGTGTGATCCATTTACAATTTGGCATCATATTTAGAAGTGAAAACCCTGGCCAGCTGTCCAGACCCGACCTGAGCTGGGGTTGGGCAGGCAGTTGCTGCGGCCACAGCTTTGAGAGCACCAGGCTGGCCAGGAGGCTGCCACAGCACAGCCCAGGCTTCTACCACCACAGCTCAGAGCTGGCCCACAGTCTGCACATGCCAAGGGGTGGTTCTCTTGGGCCTGCCCTCAAACTTGGTCATGACCCTTGGTGGCAGCAGTCACGGGACTCCTGATTCCGACTCATAATCTATGTTACTATGGCCACAAGACAGGTTTTTTTTGCCCACAATCATTCCTCAGATATTAACTGAACTCTTTCTATGTGCAAGAGTTATTAAGGGGCCTCCTTGGTGGCTCAAGGAGTTAAAACACAGCACTATGAAGCTATCCACAGCCACTGAAACACAAGTTTGATTTCCATACAGGGAAATATGCTGACCCACACGGCGCAGCAGACCGCTCCTGTCTCGCCTTCTGTCCTCTCAGCAGTGTATTTCAGTCAGTCTGCCTGTTCTGCTCCCCACTCTGTCTCGGATGAATCCTCTCCCCGCCACTTCTGGCCTATACCTAAGTTCTTGTTTGTATAAATAAGTAAATCTTTTTAAAAAGAGATACTGTTATTGATAAGTGATCCATAAATTCTCATGGAATTGGTGTTGTAGGAGAGGAGAGAAGTCATTAAAGAAAGAAGATATTTACAAAGGACAATGGCTCTATGAAGAAAATTAATAGCAAAGGGAGCAAAAGGTTACCATCATGTACAGGGGTGATAAGCAGCTCTTTCATCTGTCTCTGTGGGTGTTCAGTTGGACTTGACTGCGACAAGCATTGATAGGAGTCCTAGTGGATGCTGGTGGTCCCACTGATGGTGCAGGTCATGGAAAGAGATAAGGAAGTGAGGGTGTCCTTTCCGATGCCAGGACCCTTCATTGACTCTTGCTGGGGCTCGGAACCATGCAGGCTATCAGACAGGGCTTGGCTGTAGGGGGCAAGATGGCCACCACTGGCTGCGTGGGTGAGGAGGAAGGGAAGTAGAAAGGGCATAACCTCTGATTGTTCTGTCCTATGTTGTAGGTGCTGCGGATAAAGCTGGAACTCGAGAAAACCAGGTTGGCTGGGAATTGGCTCTCTTTCTGGGGAAGAGGGAAGGCCACAGGCTAGAGCCACCTTTCAGTTTGCTCCCTATCAAATTTGTTGAGGCATTATTTTTGAGAAGAAAACCTGGTGGTTCTGAGGTTTCCCCACTCATAACACCCTACCCTCTCCATGTACAGAAAAGCTTTGCCCCAGGACCTGCCTTTAGTTAAGGGAATTGAGCCTTACCGTGTCCATTTTTCCTCATGCCACAGGAGACAGAGGGTCACCATATCCAAACTGAGTAGTCAGCTGACATAAGCTGCCAGTCAGAACCGTTCACCTGGGGCCTCCCACTCCCCAGACACCCTAGACCCCTTGTTGGCACTCAGACAGCCTGGGATCAGCAGCTGCAAAATGTAAGAGGATGTCCTTGAAAATCAGCTAACCAGCTCCAGGCCAAGCCCATCCTGGGCTTCTGCCTTAGTGGCCTAAAGGACTCTTGTATAGTCTCAGAGCTTCCTAATCTGTCTCTACTGGCAAATTCTGCTGCCTTGCTTTGTCTCACGTCAGCCTCCCTCGCTACAGCTGTTTGGCCACAGTGATAAATCTACACAGCTGCACAGTGCTTGATGACTTTTAGGGAAGTTTTAAATCCATCACCTCATTTGATCTTCAAGCATCCCTGTGAGAGAGACCAGACAGAGATTCTTATAATCTGCTTTCTTAGAGTTAGGGAATTGAGGCTGAGAGGCATTACATTTGACTGAGATCACAAAGCTAGAAAGTGGCAGAACTACAAAACTGTATTACCCTCTGGTAGCAGTCTGGTTGCTAGCATCCCACGACAGGGGAGAGTGACCAGAATTGAGATATGAAAGAAGACTCCAAGTCAGAGGCGGATACAGGGGAATAGAGAAGAACGAAACATGGGAACAAGCAGCCGTTTCTCACAGTGACTCCTCTCCTTTTGTCTTCTCAGCCAGCTGTGGTGCATCTACAGGGCCAAGGATCAGCGATTCAAGTCAAGAATGGTGAGAGTTAAAGCAAGCCCTCTTCCTAGCCCCAGGCTTCCAGTAGTTCCCAGCCTCCTTGCCAGGGCCCTGAGGTGTCTTTGGTATTGGGGAGCCGTTCTCGACTCCGTTTTGCCCTCTGCTGGCTATCCTGAGTAAATGTTTGCACTAAGACCCGTTGCTACTACACCCGATTATATTTGGAAGCACTAACAAGGAAGCTGAAAATAACTTGAAACATCTTACAGACCAGAGATTCTTGGGAGATGGAGATTGTGTAAGAGTCACCACATGGTTGTGTGTGATTTAATAAACGTTCTCACAGTACAAATATAAAATTAAATTCTTGCCTGCTAGATGGGAAATGGGTGGAGGGGAATTCTTTCGGGGACAGGGGAAGCATGTTGGACTGTCCAGGGTTTGTGAGATACCAGTGTTTGGAAAAGGGAGGAACAGATTAATGAAGTTAAGCAAACAGATTGAATGTAACCCCTGCATTTAAAAAAATGGGACAACACGGGCCTAGAGAGATTGGATTATCCCTAAGAAATCATACTGCCTGATATTTATGTGGTGCTTTACAGTTTTGAGCATGCTTTCTTTGTCTTTGATTGTATTTGATCCTCACGCCAACTCTCTGAGGTAGGTATTAGCTCCTTTTTACAAAAACAGAAACTGAAGTTCAGAGAGGTTAGCTGATTGGCCCAAGATTGCAGTTGCCTGTAGGAGCTGGACTCCAAAACTCCATTTGTCTGACTCTTGCCACTGCATTATGCTACTTCAGTTATCTGTGTGTGCACTCCACTGAATGATTAGGTTCATTTTCTTCCCCAAAGAGACATGAACATTCATTAAAGAACAGCACTTTGAAATAATGTCCAGTCCCCAGGGTGTGCAAAGCCTAAAATGCATGTACCCCCAGGAGCTTGGGAAGCAGCAAACAGGCCAACATACCAGATGCATTCAGAGCTCTGAGTGGAAGGGAAGGGCTATGAGTGCAGAAATAATAAGTGAAGGTTAAAGAAACCTGCTGCATTGGAACAGCTTCTAAGAGCCCAGTCAGTCCTGAACTGATTGTACTAAAGCTTCCTTAATGATTAAGCTTAGTTACATCCTGAACTGCCACCTGGACACCTGACTTAATAGTCTCAGAAATAATAAGTAGGAACAGAGTGGCCCCAAAACCCAAGTGGCCTGCTGGGCCAAATTGCCTTGGGCCTCAGCCCTGGGTGGGCCATGATCTCCATCTGTCCAAGGAGGAGTGAGACAGGCAGGAAATGTTTATTTGGGTGTCAGGATGGGTGACCTCAGTATTCATTCCATCATTCCAGAAGCTTCAGATTTTCCTCCCACTACCACATAACTAGATTGACTCCAACGCCTCTGGGCCCATCCCTAGCAATAGTCTATGTTGGTCTTTACTTTTATCAGAAACACAATGGAGGGGCCCAGGGGTGAAAAGACTTCATGAAGAACATGCAGTTGAAGGCACAGAGCCAAGGCGCTGCTTTCCAACTTCTGTCTGTCAAGGAAGATGGCAACCTTTCCCAGAAGGTCATTTTCCTTCAACCTCAGAGGCAGCTTCCTCAGACTAATCAATGATGGCTGCTCAAAATATAATCTCTTAGGTTAGGAATGTCTGGTTTACAGGAAAAGTCCCATAAGCTTGGGCTTCCACCTCTTGTGGCACGAAGGAACAGCTTTCTTACTGAAGGAGAGAAAAGGAAACTACCACCCCTCCAAGCTGATACCCACTGTCCAGCCAACACTGTCCAGCCAACACTGTCCAGCCATTGTTGTATGATGGCCCCAGCCCCCAGATGGGGTGGAACTGAGAGATGCTTTTTCAGTTGGACACCCTCATCCACTCCTTGGCTGGTTCAGGCTCAGCTTGGCAGTCCACCTGTTAGGCTAATAAAGCTCCCTCTTCCCTACGGGGCCATACCACTGGTGGTCACTAGTGCCAGCCAATTGGTCCCTAATCCCTATGGTTCTCCAAACCAACAGTTGTTTCACTGGTTTTCTGGAGGGGGAGGGGCAGGGAAACTTTCCAGAAAGGAATGGGTGTGTAGGAAGTATAAAAAGGAATTTCTTAAGGAGAAGAGAAAAAAAAAGCCACAAACCTAGGAAATGGGAGCTGTGGCTGGAGAAATGAAACAAAATAATAAGGCCTAGCCTGCCACTCAGTGTCTAAATTTTGCCTGTGCAGGCCCCAGAACAACAAAGGAAGTAGGACAGTGTGCCCACTCTCCTCAAATTCCCCCCACTTCCAAGTTCAGCAAGAAGGTGCTAGTTAAAATCCCTTCCAGATAAAAAGGTCAAGGAAGGAAGGCCCACGAGGACAGGAGGCAGACCCCAGCAGCCACTTTACAAACAGAACACTTTCTCTGTTTCCAAAAGCTGTTCTTTAAAGCTGCGCCTTCTAGGCTTTCCAGGTTGCATTGGGCTGTGTGGGGAGGTTGTTTACTGTTTGATAGTTCTTATTTCTATTGCCCAGATTATTCTGACATGTACTGAGTGACTGCCCTTCTCTCATACTGAGATCTTTCAGGTGGAGTGCTCAATGACTGGTCACGCATCACCATGAACCCCAAGGTGTTTAAGCTACATCCCCGAAGCGGGGAGCTGGAGGTACTGGTGGACGGCACCTACTTCATCTATAGTCAGGTAGAAGTGAGTACGGTCTTAGGCCTAACTCTTCTTATATCCAGGTTGCAGATCCGGTGAAGGCCACACAGGGGCACTGTGGAGCCAGCCAAGACAAGCCAAAGACTGAAGTCCCCATTGGAGGGTGAGGGGGTGGGGAGGTTAGGAGGAGTAGAAAGGGAGAGAGGGAGGAAGTGCTGCTTTTTTGTTCCCCAGCCAGCTGTGGTAGAAAAACTGAAAAGAGAGGCACCCAACCATCTGATCCCTTCCTGTGGTGTGTGGGGGTGAAGGCCCCAGTTCCCTGCTGAGCTGTTCGACTCCACTGCCAAACCCATACTGTCCTGTATGTTCTTTGAAAGTCGGTTCCAAGGCTGCTGAGAACCTCTTCCTCCAATTCCACTAGCTTGGACATTATAATCATATGTGCTCCAGATACTTTCTCGCCACCTCAGAAAGTTTTCTGGCTGTCTTTCCTTCCTTCTTCCCCCATTTGTGTCTCTACCACTCTGTTTCTCTGGTTCTTTTGCTCCTTCCTGCTGGCATTCTCTGTCCTCTTCTCCCTCTGTGATCGCCCTGGACTGGGCCCAGTCCCAGGTCTGCCAGTGTCCATCTCCATCCTCATTTGGAGAAACTCCTCAGAGCTAGAGAGAAATGAAACTTGAGATAGGGGCTTCTGTGGAGCAGGCAGCCAGCAGGTAGCTGGACAGAGGGACTACCAAGCGCACACTCAGTTCTCACAGGGAAGTCACCAGAGTTGGGTTATCGAGCATTAACTAATCCTACCAAGCACCCAGGCCCCACTGGGGCCCTTTGGGGCCCAAGAAACTATGTGGCACCTGGATGTACTGCTCCTTCCTGAAGAACCTGTGGAAGGAGCAATGTCTTGTAAAGTGATTCGGGAGGGCATCTGAGGGTCCCAGTCCCCAAGGACTGGGTGTAATCCCATCGTCCTATGGGCAGTTTCTTCTAAAACTCCTTTAAGTGTGTAGAACATGGTGGATAAGGACAGTGAAACATAAAAAAAAAATTTTTTTCTGGGCCTAGTAGAGACCCAAGCATGGTTCAGACCTTGGACACCACACACGCTGGCCAGGTCCCCTTGCCACCTACCCATTGGACATAAGTTAGCACTCCCTCCTGGCCACAAAGTAAAGGTAGTGGCCTGAGTCACCCCTTCCACATTCTGTATCTCAATTGTGGCAGATAGCTGCCCATGTTTCTGGATCTGTTTCCTCAGTCATGAGACAAGAGGGTGCAGGAACAGTGTGAGTATCTGAGAGAGAAAAAAACTCAGCTGTGAGGGAGGGGAGCATGGGTTGACTGAGCAGCCCTTAAAGAGCTGAAGATTCCTGTGCCCTCTCTGGGGAATCAGTGACTTCTACGTTTATCCAACTACAGTCCTTAGGACTTGAAATTGGAAGTTAATTTCTACTTATTGGTGCTTAATGTGTAGAGAGTGTGCCAGGACCCAGGAGGCGGGTAGGAGGGATAAGTAGAGGGAGGCAAAAAGATAAATAATGCCTGGTTCTTGCCCTCACAGTATCCAGGGGCCACTGGAGCCAAGAGGTCTGTCGGGCAGGGCAGCCTGCCCTTTCCTGGCCTTCCCCATTGGCCGAGGACCAAGGCCTTAAGGTGGGACTGTCCCCTTTGTGAGACGCTCCCACAGTTCATCTGAGAAGGTCCCTTCTGTCAGTAGGGGAGGGCCCCGCCCTCTCTTTCCTCTCTTCCCCAATCCCTTCTTGTTGCCTCCACCCAGGTGTACTACATCAACTTCACTGACTTTGCCAGCTATGAGGTGGTCGTGGACGAGAAGCCCTTCCTACAGTGTACCCGCAGTATCGAGACAGGCAAAACCAACTACAACACTTGTTACACCGCAGGTGTCTGCCTTCTGAAAGCCCGGCAGAAGATCGCTGTGAAGATGGTGCACGCTGACATCTCCATCAACATGAGCAAACACACCACCTTCTTTGGGGCCATCAGGCTGGGCGAGGCCCCTGCCTCCTAGATCCCCTCCCTTTGTGCCCCTGCCTGTGCCCCTGCCCCAGGTTTGGGAGCCAGGACTCCCGGAACCTCTAAGTGCATCCTCAGAGAGAAGTGCCCCAGTGCTATTTATTCCCCAGTGACTCCGGGACGACAAGGCCTGTTTGACTTTCCAGAATAACCTTGAATTAACAGGACAGTGGGAGCCCCAGGGTTCACATGAAGCAGAACCTTCCTCCATGGCACCCTGTTGACTGGCTGCTGTGTGACTCTCAGACCCCAGGGTCCCTGTTGTCAGACTTGTCATTTGTTGCACTAAAATGAGGGTCCAGGGCAGCAGGCAAGAGAAAGCCAAGTGTCCTTCAGACTCTGGGAGCTAACATCTGACCCCAAGAGGGATGCTGCTCCTCTCTTGGGTGATAGGGAGAGAGGGCGCCCGGGTGGCAGCCTAAGAATGGGTCAGGGTGGGGAGAGTCGGGTGCTGGTGACAAAAGCCAAGGAGAAACCTTTGGAGCCCGAGGCGCCTGCGTCCTTGGCAGCGGAGCAGGCCCATTTCCCCCACACTGCCACCTTCCCGAAGGCCCATCTGCTCAGGCTGAGACCTCCACAGCAGCACCTTACCTGGCTTCAGACGGCTGCTCTTCCCTACAGGGAGTCGCCACAGACCTGCCTGCCACAGAACCCGAAGCTAGAGTTGGAACCACACTTCTTTCACTTTGTTTACAGCTATGCGCCACACTCAGAAAATTTCCTGCCCCCTGCCTCGCCCCAGTCACCACTCCTCCATCCTGACTGAACCTCCTGTCTTCTCACTCCACAGAGACTACCTCTGTCTGAGACAGGTGCCTCACCCAGAACCTGTACTTATGTTTGTCTGGGATACTCTTCATATTGCTTAGGCGCAAAGACAACTTTTCATGTATGGAGCAACACAAACATTCTGGTTGAGTTGCATCTGGGGGCAAAGGGCTCAACCAGATGAACCTCCAGAAGTCCTTTCCTGTTCGAATGTTACACAGCTGCCATGGCAGCTGCTAAAAGCCCCAAACCCAAGTCCATGCCTGGGTATCAGCAAGGCGGAGCTTTGCTGCCTGACCCAGAAAGGGTGAAAGATGCAGAAAGGGCAGATGGGGGTTCTTTTAGTTTGTTTTTCAAATTTGCTGCAATCTGAGTGCTCATGAGCCCAGTCCTCATCCAGAAGCACAGCAACGGACACCCTGCTGACCCACCCTTTCTTCAGAAAGCCACTGTAAATTCCATTACAGGTTCAGGTGTCAGGAGATCAGCATCGAAGGGGAGGTCTGTGCCCTCTAGTCAGTTCCAAGGACACCTCACCTCTACCCTAAACCTCCCACTGGGTCAGTGGCGGGACTGTTCATGGGCCTGGCTTCTGGGCGTGAGGCCTAAACCAAGACTATGAGGAGCAGTCTGGCTGCTTTGGCTGCTTTTGAAGAGATAGGGAATAAGTTCCTTTGGGCAGCTGAAATCCACCAAAAACAGGTGCTTGTTTCTCAGCTTCCCTTCCTGAGCAGCTGCCCTGCTTGGCCTTCCAAGATCAGACCAAGAATGAGAGGGTGACCCCACCACTGTCTGATCTCAAACAACGGCCTTGCAACCCCTGGTGAGAGAAAGTAGGCATGAGTCTGGCCCCAATTTCTATAAAGTGCTTTAGACAGCCCTCGGTTACAGCAGGGACTGATGGGAACCTCTACTGGGGCTTTGGAAAGGATTTTCGTTCTAATTATTTCCTTTGGTAATATTGCAAGTTCCGTTTTTAGATGAGGCTCGGAGATATTAAATGTTTTAACCAAGATCTCACCCAGCTTAAATCACAGTAAGGGCTTCCGCCAGGTTTGTCTCCAAAGCTAATCTGTCATACTGTAGAGTTGGGTTGAAATAGGGCCCAGAGAGCGCCATTTAAGGTGGTAATAAGGGCCCGCAACCCTTGAGGGTCCTCGGGAGAAATTCAGAGATGCTCGTTTTCATTCCTTTTTGGCAGTGCCTGTACTTTCAGCTGCCTGGGGCAAGGAAACGCCATCAGTCTCAGAGCTCTCATGTTCAGAAGAATCCTCTTGGTACCACGTACAAGCAGCAGACCTCCAGTGCCCACAAAACCCACAGCCCATTTGTCTTCTCACCCACCTCATTAACAGGCTAGCCCTCGACTTATCCCCCACACTGAAGGCACTGGCTGCTTCCCACAGCTACCGAGTGACTCTTTAGCTCTTCCTACCATCCCACGGAGAGCTCGCTACCAAGATCTCAGGGGTGGAGGAAGACCCAAAAGAGGCCTGATTTGAAAGCCAAAAGGGTGTGAGGTGGTGAGAGGAAATGACTTCCTTAACGTGTCCCTAGAGGACATCCGTACACCCAGACATCATCGTTCTGTTCTGTAGATGTGGAGGGGCTAACAGGAAAACAGGATTCTTGTGAGGCCCTTTATTCATCATGCACCCACAGAAATATTCCAGGGGCGCGGGAGGTGAGGGAAGCCACAGGTAGCAGGGTCCCTGCCATAGCAGTTACTGGCAAGGAGGCAAAGCAATTTACTACACAAAGAATGTGGAAACAGATTTGCAGTATGAACTGTTGCCAATGTGAGCTCATCAGTGGGCTCACACTAGCATGGAGAAGGGGATGGGGACATTTGTGAGCAAGCAGACAACAGGTTTGAAGGAGAATTGCCTGGCAGAGGCCTCTGCCAGCCACTAGGGCTTCAACTAACAAAGTTGACCCAAAAGGCAGCTGTTGGGGCACGCTCAGCTACTGGTGCTTAGGAAAAACATAGTCTTTGCCTTATTTGCCCATTCATCCACCCTAAGCCAAGTTTCTTTTGCTGAGCAGGAAAGTGGTCAGAATCTGGAGGTGAACAAAGACTGACCCTCATGTGAACCCACATGCCTTATGTAACTTCTGGTGGATGACAGAGCTGCAGGGGAATGGAGAGCCAGATGCAGGCAAGGAGCCAACCTCCATCCCCGCCCCAGGCTACTCATGTGGAAATGAGGCCCAGGGGGGAAGGTGGCCTGCCCAAGGTAGTGAACAAGCCCCAACCTCCAGATTCCAGTAGGTAAAGAGGCAGGGCAGTCCCTATCCTGCAAGACCCCTTCTTCCTTCTACCCACAGACTCCAAGCTGGAGGTGTTTGGCTCCTCTGAGGAACCTGGCCGGGCAAGGAGAAAGTAACTGCAGCCTTCCAAACCCTGCCCCCCCCCCAGGTATTCTCCCAACTCCTGCCTCGACTGGCCCCATACCAGGACATCATGAGGCCACCCTGGTGCTGGCAGGCCCCATCCCTACCTGGAGGCTTCCCTAGGCCATGTGAGCACAAATAAAATTGGATTTTTCCATTAATCCACTTCAGGGCTCTCTCCAACAGGAGCTGGGGTGTGTCAGTCCTTTATTCCAAAAGCTCCCAGCTAGGATGAGGTATGAACATTGTCATGAGAATGGCCTGGAGCAGGCCCAGTGCTGCTTTGGGGGTGAGCATACAGTGTGAGATACTGTGTATATAAACTATACATAATGTATATAAACTGGGATGTAAGTTTGTATAAATTAATGGTTTATTCTTTGCAAATAAAGTTTCCCTCTTCACCCCTCCCCCCCCCCGTTATTCTGGAACTTGGATGGAGCGCTTCCTACATGCTTGGTGCTTTTTTGCAGGTGATGATGTCACATGTGTGCCAGGGAAAGGACCAAGGCACCATGGCAGAGGGAACAAGGGAAAGAAAGAAGGTAGTCTGAATTTCCTGTCAGAACATCTTGTGTCCCCTCTGCCTCAGACCACACATCCCCTTCCCCACCCCCTTAGAGCTTTGCCTGCCACAATGTGTCCAGTATGCTCAGGGAACTGCACAAAGGAACATAATCCTGAGGTAGAGGCACATGCTTGGAGTCACCGGCAGCCTGAGACTGTGGTGTCTACAACATGTACTTCAGGCCTGGGCCCAAAACAGCTCAGGTGGATCCAGCCTCTAGTTCCCCACTGAGGGACCGTTCCATTTTGCAGACAAGGAGACTAATGCTCAGAGAGTTGAAGAAGGTAGTCCAACTAGGCAGTGCCAGTCCCGCCTGACCCCCAAAGCAGGGCACTCTACCTTGCTTACTTCCCCAAGCTCTTTGAGTGCAGAAGCTCCATGAAGGTCAGAATACAGCAGCCCAAAGCTGCCGAGCCCCAGAGCGTTCAAGACACTTCTCACAGCCCCTGCAGCCGCCGCGCCCACCAGGTAAGTGGTGAAAGTGGGCACACCTGCCTTTGGCAAAGCAATACTCGCTGTGCACAGGCAGGGTGTTGGTGCCCAGCAGGGTCATCTGGATACCCTAGGTAGGTTACAGGTACACATTTTAAAGAAAACCAAAGGAGAGTCAGAAAATGATTTTAAGACACCTTATGGGAGCTCGGGGAAATGGCAGCTGTGGTGCAAGGGATGTAATGAACACAGCAGGAGGTAAAGCAGCTGCCTCAAGGCACAGAGCAGCACACGAGGCAGGCACCCAGGTGTGGAGGAGGCAGCTAGCCACACTGACGAGGACGCTGGTGTTCTGGACCAAGCTGACAACCACTGATGCAGCTAAAACATTGAGATCAAGTGGCATCCACCCAAGAGAGATGGAACAGGGAGCTGTGAGCCCAGGTGTAACCTCGCCATTGCCGACAGCCATGGGCCAAGTCTAAGACTCGCTGTCTACAAGGAGAGTTCTCTGTGGCTGCCAGAAGCCAGGCCCCTGGCTTCCCTCCAGGGGCTGGAATGACAGGCAAGAGAGCCAGGCCATGAGTGGTGTTTGATGGGGATAGACAGCCCGGCCCATTCTACTAGAGCATCTTGAGGCAGAAACAGTTGGACCAGTAGGTAGCAGGGTTATCAATTACTTAAAGTCTTAAAGGACAAGCTCCTACAATGTAAACTTTCTTTTAAACATCGAGATGCCCTGAAAATAAGTCACCCAAGGACAGAAAATACGCAAGACAGAGGAGAATAATTTGTGTAATACAAAGTTCCGTTGCATTTGATATTCCCAACAGTCTTTGAGGTAAGCAGCCCCATGGTGTGGAGGAGGAAACCAGCTCAGAGGTGGCTGCAAGTCACATGGCCTGTAGGTGGGAGTCTGAACTCAGAGCCCACTGGATCGCAAGGCACCCAGTTCTGTGGAAGTCTCCGTGTCAAGAGATATGTGTGCTTGAGAGCTAGAGAGAGAAACGTGTGCAGGCATCCTAGGCCCTCCAAACAGACTAGCTGAGACATGAGCAGTATCAGAAGATAGCTTTTTATTCTGTCCATTGTCTTCATCAATGCCGGCACTAAGTGGGCACATGTTAGGATTCCTCAGGGTAACTCTCCCCTAGGGCCTTCCCTGTCTCTTGGAGCGATAAAGCAGAGAAGAACTAGGAGGGGAGAGAAGAAAGGGAAGTGGAGTCCAGAAAACAACCAAACGGGCAGTTCCTCCCCACACTGACAATATCAAGTGCAAGTTTTACATCCCATTCAGAGGAAGTGGACTCTACAACACTTGCAACACTGGCTGCTCACAGTAAACAACACAGCTCTGGAGGGTTAAAGCACAGACAATTCAGATACAAAACATATTTGATACCATGGAGAAATCTAGCATCTCTTTGCATGGGAGTTTTTCAATCAAGAGCAGGATCCCCCCACACACACCAGTTGACTTTTGTCCTGTTTCACTGTTCTACAACTTCAGCCAGACTGAGAGGCTGCTGATGATGTCTGTCAATCCATCACCAGCTCCGTGGACTCTGAGATGCCAAACTTCATCTTATGTTGGTTGAACAGTTTGCATAAGGCATCCACATACAGTGTGTGGTATTTAGCCACTATCTCCTGGCTTGGGTTCTCAATCTTGGGCATTGGTAGAGGCTTCCCAACTGTCAGACACAGAGAAGGAAAAGAGGAAAGTATCAGAACAGCTCACTCCTCAGAATGGGCCTTAGCCCACAAACCTGGGTTCTCCACACACTTACACCACCTCCACCCATCCTGGCCAGATTCGCTGACTCTGGACATGACCAGAGCTGAGGTTTAGCCTCAGGAGGGGATCGTACATCCTTGGATGATGCTGTCAGCAGAAGGACCACTTACCAACAATTGTGACAGGCTTTGCATAGGGCAGAAGGCCCCAGGAGTTCTCAGTGAAACCACGCCCATAGAAAGCACAAGGGTAGATGTGTATCCAACTCTGGAACCACTTCTGGAAGGAGTTGATGAAGCCCCCGGGAGTGAAAATGTGTTGATCATAGAGCTCTGTCTCCCCAAAGGAGTAGGCGGGGACCAGAGACACCCTGCGGGGAGGAAAGGCACATATCTGGTTGGCAGGAAAGGTAGGGACCCTGCTAAAAGTCAAGCATGTTAATCATCAGTCACCCCTGTATCCGCTTAGACTCCTCAGCACCTCACCTAGCTGGGTCTAGGTCCAGGCTGAGTATGAAGGTCCCATGGTCTACCCCAGATCTACTTCACTTGGGGCAAAGTAGCAGCCAGCTACAATAGAAAAGCTAAGTCCAAAGCCTTCCTGTGAAGCACAGGTTTTGCGCTGGAGAATGAAGAGTGAGGGCACATTTCATTGAGTTTATTTTTCCTTGAATTCATATTGTAACTTGGGTGCTCTCTGAGACAGTGGTAGCCACGTCTTCATTTCTGGAGGGACCAGCCCAGATGAGAGGCCCTCTGCAAGGGACCTGGCTCAGGGCCTGCCCTCTAGTCATTCTTCAGGAGCAGAAATGCCTCGAGGACTTGGGCCAGTTTCTGCTATGACACACAAGTTGCTTTCCTCCCCTAGGTAGAATTTCCTTGAACTCCTTTCACCCCCCCCTCACCCCTCCACCCGCCCTTTCTAAGCTGTTGGAACCCCTCTCCCTAGCCCAGGTCAGAACTTCCCTTACCCGTGCTGAAGGGCCTTCCGTATAAAGCCTTTCCGGTTCTTCAAGTACAGGGTGGTGGAGGCTGGCAGGCTGTACTTGCACTCAGCCAGGCCACCAGCCACCACCACCAGCAAGTTGCCAGTGCCTCTGTGAGTGAGCAGGAAGTCAATGGAAGAATCGCTCACAGAGCACATGCCTGGAGGGCAGAAAAACCCAAAAGGTTATGTCCACTTCCCAAACCTTTAAACTCCCCTCCCTACCTCTTCAAAGGAAGGTGAGCCCAGGGTAGCTTCATACAAGCAGGGAGGATCATGGGATTGGCCTTACTTTCACCCTTCCCCCAAAACTTCTCCCTCTGGACACCATTTTTTCTTTGGCTTTATAGCCTAGGAACCAACTTACCTGTAGATAGGACGTAGTCTCTCAGAATAGGCAACCAGAAAAAGGCCCCCAGTGTGAGAGGATAAGGGGTGATGCCAGGAAAGAGTTTGGAGAAACCTGTGGACTCTGTGCAAAAGTTGCCAAAGCATCCATGGGCCAGTAGCCCATGAGGGTGGCAGACAAGGATGTAGTTGTTATTGGGGGAGAGGTCATGAGTCTTCAAAAGCTGTGGAGGAAAGTGGAGTCAGGAAGAGTGTGGCCATGCACAGGGGGCTTCTGGGGGTTTCTATCACACAGGCCTCCTGGGAAATAGCACCGTCAACCCCACCTTGACCCAAAGGCTGGCCCTGGAGTTGGGGCTGGGCCCGGACCCAGGGGGATCTAAAGATACTCACCTTTATGGGGAAGTAGTCGCTGTACTGTTTCCACAGGCACCACCGCCTCACACAGGAAAACCGGCGACCACCTGTAAACAGTGCCAATGTAGCAAACTCTGCCCATCCCTGTGGTCTTCTTTGGAGTCTTCTTGGCTCTCACAGGGTAGGCTCACCGCCTGCTTTTTCCTGGCCTCTTAAGTAACAATCAGGATGGATTACAGCACAACAGAGCCAATTTAGAACAAGTCTAGCTTTTTGACCCAGTCTCTCCCCTAAGACACTCTATTTCTGACCTGGGTCTTACCAGCACTTTGAAAAGACCCCTCTCTTCAGCTTGTCTAGCCCAGGGAGGTACAGTATAAAGAGGTAATTTGGAACTCCAAAATCGATCCTCTTGGGATTATAAAGAAAGGAAAGGGCATGTAGCATGTGGCAAGCCAGCCCTAGCAGGATATTTACCTCGCTCTGGGGTCTTCCAGTCAAAAGCCAGCCATGTGAGAAGGAACACAGTGACAGGCCAGTATGATGTGAATACCACCAGGTAGAGGTTGCCGATGAGCACTGTGAACCCTGGAGGAAGCACAGCCTGGAGTTCATGAATTGTGAACAATCCCCACACCAATCCCAAGACTGCTGCCCACCCCAAGATCACACGTGCATGCACACACACACTCACCCAAGCTCACTCAACAATTTCTCGGCCTTAGCACATGTCCCTCATGCCCACAGTCCCAGCCCTTCCACCCAACTCTGTCTTATTTCAGGCAAGATATTTGTCTTCCCAGCCATGCTCCTCACAGGAACCCTCTGCCCCAGACCCTGTTCTGGGCTGAGTTCAGTGGCAGAGCCAGTGATGGGAAACCCTAGGGGTCAGGGGAGACAACCAGAAGCAGTTTTCCTCTAACCGACATTTCCCTCTACATGTCTTTGCTATGGTCCAGCAAAAGCAAGAAGTTCCCAGGGTCAGGAGGAAAACGATCAAGTCACAGGACCCCAAATTTAAGGGGATATCCATGGAAGAGTAACAGGGTGGTCCCCAGTAAAAGGGGAAGTTCCAGGTTCCCTGCCCTACCCAGAAGGAGGGTGGAGCTAAGCAGAGAAGAGAAGGAATATGAAGAAGGAAGCAGGATGGAGAGCTAGAAAGAAACCTGAGGAAGCCACATGGAGCAAAGGGAGACATGTGAAGAAACCGTGCTTGTTTCTTGGCCCTGGACTGATTGAAGAGATGTGGGTGAGAGATCTGTGGGGAGGTTCATTATGGCAGCTTTTATATTGATTTTGATTGTGCTCTTTTCCTCCCAGATTTCTCTGACCATTTCTGACCCTTTTCCATAAGTACCGGCCAAAAGGTGCTTTAGGCTTGTGGCAGGCTTTCAGGCCTTGCTTTGGACCAATCCCTTTTGGGTGGACTTTTGCCCACGAGGGGATGGGTAACTTCAGGTGTTTGATGTAGAAATCATATTCTTTGTCTTCTGTGTTGTATACTCACTGTATTAAGGTTCCTTTTCATTAAAGTCTTATATGTTTTGTCTTGATGCGGTGGATGGCAGAACTTATTTAGAGCAGGCAGGTTTGGGGGTTCAGTGGTGCCCCTCTCTCCCTGCACTGTAACAGAAGGAACACCAGAGAAAGGGAAATCATCTTCAGCCTCACAAGGAACACCCAAGGTGATGAACAAGAAATAAAGGAAAGTACAAGCTGGAAAAGCACAAGGTAGGGGCAGTTACGCTCCCACCGTATAGGAGCTGTGGGCTAGAGCAATTAGAGCAGAGTTAACAGAGATGAATCACAGGGAGCCACACTCACTTAGAATTATTGCAGGACTATTTTAAAAACAATTGTTGGCCCTCCCTGGTGGCGCAGCGGGTTAAAGCACTGCACTGAGAAACTAAAGCCACTTCCTCATGAGTTCGATTCCCGCCTGCCCCGGAGGTGACCACATGGCGTGGCAGACCTCTCCTGACCCGCCCGCTGCTCCCCTCAGCAGTGTACTTGTCGATCTGCCTGTTCTGCTCCCTGCTCTGTGTGTGGTGAATCCTCTCACCCTCCGCATCTCTGGCCTGTACCCCAGTTCTGTATGAATAAATAAATAAATCTTAAAAAAAAAAAAAAAACAATTGTCAATAAGACTACGTGATTGAAAGTGGGTCAAAGTAAAGATCAGAAAATGCTTCTAATTAAACATTGCATTGCAGGTTGAATGCAAATTTTTACCTCAGCATCTTGCTGACACCTCATGAAAATTACTGTAAGATGGTTTGCAGAGAGAATGAAGGAGACGGGACAGAAAGAGATGAGGAGGAAAGGAATTAGTGACACCACACCACACCACTGGTGGATGAGAGACAGCAGAAAGTGGGTGGAGGAGGGAGCCACTGACTTGGAACAGAGAACGATGAAGCCTATTTTCTCAAAAAGGGAATGCCTGCAGGACACATGCCTGTTTGCAGCAGAGATGCTAGAGAAGACTCAGTGTGTACGTCAGGCATCTCATAAAGCAAGGATGAGGTGCAGGACTTGATGGAAAGTTTATCAAAGAAGGAGACTTCCAGGTTCCCTTCCTCACCAATGGGGAGATCACTCTCTGAAAAACTGAACCTGACTCTAGACTCAAGTACAATAAACACACCTAAGGCATTTTATATGCAGCCACATGATTAATCAAGTGTGGAAATGGAATAAAGACAATCTCAGACATGCGTTCTCAGCTCATCTCCCAGGCACCCTGTGCAGGAAAACTACTGGAGGAATGTGTTCCACCAGCACGAGGGAATAATCCGTGGGGGGAGGTGAATTCACTGAAGGAAGGAAACGGCCATAGCCAGCGGGAGGGTGGGCAAGGGAGGCACAAGGTACAGAATTTCAGGAGACACTCTCAGGGTTGGACAAGGACTGACCCAATGCTTATGCAGCCCTGAGAGCTGGCAACTTCTTAAATTATGCATTCAAAGCTCCCCTAGGGCCCTGGAGGCAACAACTGAGCTGGATTAGAACAGGAGGATTCTGGGCTCCAACGGTGATATCCCCAGTGAAATAAAAAGGAGGGGGGGGATGGTGGTGGTGAGGAGAGTTACAGATTTCTGACGTATTTGAGCCTCATAAGAGAGTATCACATCTGTGCAGTGTTTGGGAATGAATTAGTGATCATGAATAGATACGTAATAGATAACTAAAGAAATTTAAAATGAGGCAATTATGAATTTCAGGGGAACCAGAAGTTGCACAAGAAAGGAAATATCATCTTAGTACACTAAGTAGCTCAATTGTGGATCATATTTCCTAGTCACAGTCAGGCATTTAACCAAAACCTGCCAATTGGGAGAGGGCGGGGGAGAAGAAGCTCTAATGACAGTTTTTAGAGCCAAATTCTCATCTTCCATATTAAGAAGTAAGTGACAATATCTAAAGTTGTTACATCAGAAAATAGCAATATTTCAAAAATTAAATAGTAAAATTTTAACAGATGGAGGTAAACACCAGAAGCGTGCTAACCGAAGTTGAAAATAGCTGCCTCAGTGAAACAGGCCTAAGGGTCAAATGAAGGTCAGCAGTTAGGCTTTTGACAAACTCTTTATAAAACTGACTTTTATCAAAAAATAAAAGGAAGCATGGGATTGATCCTGAAGAGACCTCCCTGTTTCCCTTAGGCTGAGTTTGACCCCAGACAATGTTGGGGACAGAGCAGTGTGGCCTCAGGCGCAGCAGCCTGCTGTAAAATGTGTGAGCCACTTGCTGAGCACATAGCCACTGAGTTCCAGTATCCTCATCCGCCAGATGAGAATTAAAATACCAGTATCTGCCCTATCTTCTTTGCAGACTTATTGTGAGTGTATTCCCTCAAGGCATTTCAGGTCCAAATAGACGCTAGCTTAACTCATACAATCTTCTAAAGAGTGGGAAGAGCCCGAGGGCCACTTGCCCCACCTTACCCCGTGAGAGCTCATGAGGGAAGAGTGAACACTGGAACCCATAGCTCTTAAGCCCAGTTCTAGCCCCTATGCTCCCCCTACCCACTGCTTTCTCCCCTACTCCAAACACAGCTCACACTGGGGACCTGAACCTCAGGCTTGCCATCTATCTCTCCCCACAATTTCTGGTCATCAAATCCTATTCCACTCACACAGTGTTGAGGGGGTGGGAGGGGAGGGAGTGGGGTCAAAATGGGAGGGAGAGCACAAGTGATTGTGATGAGGGATCCTGGGTGGGAGAACTACGGAGACTACACCAGAGGGGAAAAATCAAATACAACCCCAAAATGAATGATGATGTAAGAAAATCAATTAATTAATTAAAAATAAAATTTTAAAACTATATACCAGAGACATTTTACAGGGGTGGAGTAGGGAATGGGATCACAAACGGTGGGAGGAGTTAAGTGCACTGGACTATGGTGATGGTACATGGGTGATTCCCCATGGGAAGCCCATGAGGATTACAACTGAGATGGAAAAAGGTACAAAATGAGGTAAAAATAAACTATTATATTATTTAAAAATAAATAAAAATTTAAAATATTTTGCCACACATTACTACAGGGCCCTCTCGTTAACACAAAATCTAACGCTCTCACCTTGTTGCAAACCCTAGCATAGATTCATGTAGCCCTCAGGGAAAAGTCCACTCTTTTCTGTGGTTTAAAATGGCCTTTACACTCTGTCCCTTGCATGCAGCCTCTCCAGTATCCTCTTTCTTCTGTCTGTCCTTCCTTCACTCATTCATTCATTCAGTATGTATTGCTATTCAAGTCTGTACCCTCAGCACCTCATCAAACTTCACTGGCAGTTTTGAAAGCCTCATGCTCTCCCCCTCTTCTAGCCTTGCCTGTATTACCCACTCTCGGTCCTGAACTCCCTTTCTTCTTCACCTATTCTCTACTTACCCTTCAAGTGTCAATTGGACACAAGAATAAATACTAATTGCTGACAAATATATGAAAAGATAGTTAACTTCACTCATAATTAAGGAAGTTCAAAATAAGAACACAACTCGATTGCCGGCCTATCACTCCTGGTGGGAAGCAATAAGGGGAGAGTATGAATTCTCTATTCTCTTTCCTTTCCTGCAGTTGGCGTCTCTGAAGCCACATTTTGGAGCATCAAAATTTAGTGGGGCCTCCATCAGCCTGAACTATTAATACTAGCTAGACAGCAGGGCCTCCCCCTCAGCCATCCTGGACATTTAACAAGAACAGAAAATAAATGTGTGCTGTCTTAAGGCACAGAGATTATAGGGTGAATTTGTCTATCCCAATTAATACATTGGATGTGCCCATTTTACAGATGAAGAAAACAAGACTCAGAAAGAATAAAACAACTTGCCAAACATACACAGAGAGTAAGTGGTGGAGCTGGGATTTGAACACAGGCCATTTGACTCAAAAGACTGTGTTTTTAACACCCATATTTTACTGCCTCTTCACTCTCTGTGTGTGTGTGTGGTGTGCGTATGTTTGTACCTGTATTTATGCATTCCTGTGTGTGGCTATGCACACATTTATATACGTAACTATAATTTATAGCTAAATATGCACAAAATACTGTTAATAGTGTTCACATCTAAGGAGATTAAGAACTCAACTGGACTGAGGAAGGAAAAATGCCACCATGGAGCTTCCAGTCCCTACCTGAGCCTGGCCTAAGGTGGCCTTCAATAAATAATAAATGTTCACACGCCCACACATCTCCCTCACTGCAGTGTCAGCTCCTAGGAACTGGTGACTGCGCTTGCTCTCCTTCTCGTTCTCTTTCTCTGTCTCTGTCTCTGTCTCTCTCCTTCTCTCTCTCTCTCTCTCTCTCTCTCTCTCTCACACACACACACACACACGCGCGCGCACACACACACACACACACACACACTGAGTACAGTGAAGGGAGAGGGAGGAGAGTGTTTATAAGCCAAGTGTGTAAGGATAGAAAAACGACTCAAAAAAGACAATAGAAGAAAACCCACATTTGGGTTGATTCTTGAAGGATGATAAGAAATAAGAAGAAAGAGTGTTTAGGGAAGAGTGGACAATCTCTGACAAGGCCCTGATGAAGAGAGCACCTGAGGCTTCCAGGTAAGAGCAGAATCTACATGAAGGAAATGCCAGGTGACAGAAAGCCATTGACTGACTCTGGGTTCTGAGAACTTAGCATCAAAGCCCCAGGAGAAATCCCCTTACCTGCTCTCTTCCAGCTGAATGCCTGTTATTCCTAATCTAACTCTGCTCCTTTCAACACTCATCACCCCCATCCTGCCCCCATTCCCTGCCCTCTACCCCACTCTCTCTATTTATTTGCAAGTCCCCAGCTCCCAGGGACTACCTGCATTTTTCCTTCCCAAATATACCACAAGTTCTTGCCAGGACTGACCTGAACCACCTGACCAATGAGAATTTTTTTCCAGGCCCACTTCCCACATGGTGGAGAACCAGATGAATTTCTCTGGACATGAGTTTTTCATCCCACCCCACCCCCCGCCACCAGGACAGCTGTCTTCCAAAGATGATCTGCTCAAGAATCCAAGATTAAAGCTAAGTTCTTGTCATTGGTTAATGTCCATAGATTGCATCCCTTCTTCCCAAAACATTCCCCCAAGCCCCAGTGTAGATGCTCACACACACACACACACAAGGTTGCACATGCCTCTAAGTGCGTGCACATCCCCACATGTCCGCTCCCAGGCCCCACATGCTCCACGAGCAGGCATGTCGGGTTAGCAGCCAGGTTAACCAACAGTCCTGATTTGCCTGGAACAAGCCAGTTTCATATCAAAAGTCCTGCTGAACCATAACATGCTTGGGTCTCAGGCAAACCAGAGCAGTGTTCAACCTCCCAGAGACTGCAGACTCACCAATAAGGAGGATAGTGAAGGCCCATTGAAAAACAGCCAAGACCTCCAGGAAGGTCTTAAGTTGTTTCTTAGCCATTGTGCCCAGGGTACCGGTCGCTCCAGGTAAGTGCTGGGAGGCTGTGCAGCCCTGATTGCTTGGGGCCTGCCACCATCCCCTCTTCATGTTTCTTCTCAGGCCCTGCCCACTCTCCAACCGGCAACTCCTACTCTCCCGACTCTTCCACACGATCACAGAACAACACACCACCTCTAATTATCTAGTTCCTTCTACCCACATGAACTTTCACCCACTTAAGCATATCCTGGCCTAAGATTGTGACACTCTATTTCAGTTCTGCAGAAATATGCATAAAGCTCTGGTGCTGGAAGCAAGTGAGAACAGGGAGGAGACTGTTGAGTAGCGCTCGCAGTGTGCATCAGCGGGAGCTTCAGGGGAACCCCAGGACACACAAAACACAGAGGCTGCATTTCTGTTTCTGAGGTCCAGCTGTCTTGGTCTCTCAGGGACAATGTTACTGCAGGAGAGGAGAGAGTATGTCACAGGCCAGGCCTAAAAATAATGTTGCCCTTTCTGTCAGTCCAGAGTACTTCTTACTCTCTATGAAGGCATCACATGTGTGTCTGTGTATATACAGAAGATGTTGGCTAGATGTTTTATTAAGTGAATAAACAAATATGTGTATTATACATATTGAATCATTGTGTGTATTCTAGAACAGACAACACTAATCTATAGTGAAAAGAATCTGAGCCAAGCCACGTTTGCCTCTGCTAGGAGATTGACTAGGAAGAGACATGACAGAAATTTAGGCACTGAAAGCAATGTTCTCTCTCTTGTGAGGGCTTTGAATTACACAGTCCAAAATCTCATTTGTCAAAGCTCAACAAATATACACCTAAGATCTATGCATTTCTCTGTATGTAAATTTTATTGGAAAAGTACGCATGTTGAACTTTCATTAATGCTGGGTGAGGCGTACTGAGGGACGCACTTTACTTTGACATGCATAGAAGATAAATTGAAGGCTATGAACAGGGCCATATTGATGGACAGATGTGTGGTTAACCAAATACAGAAAAATATTTTCTGTATAATTTAGGTGGTGGATGTTCCCTGTGTGATGCTTTCAACCATTCTGTAGGTGTAAATTTTTGTAGTAGAATTCCAGGGGATAAAATGTACCCTCAAAGTCATAATAAAAAATAAATTCTTAAAATGTTGTTTCTGCATGCATGTTCATGTACACACATGGCATCTGTGTGTACAAATGTAGGTAGACCTCGTTGTCAATCCTTATTCCTGTCAGGAGCATCGCTAGGGGTTCTGCATGCTGTGGGATGTCTATGTGTAGAAGCATCCACGTGTTCTATGAACATGAAAGCTCATGAACCTCAAAGTTTTTTAATAGAGCACATCACTACTGAGACCTTGCTTGGTGCCAGTCATTTTCTTAGGTAGCTGGATTATTATCAGTGAGCAAAACCATGCAAAAAAAAAAGTTTCCCCCCCAATCCCTTACACTCCTGTTATGATTGAAACCATCCAGTATTTTTCTTCTTCTTTCTATCTTATTTCACTAAGCATGATCCCTTCCAGTTCCATCCATGTTACCATAAATGGCATGAGAGGGGAACAGGATCAAAACTGGAGTGAGAAAAGCACACGGCACTATGGTGATGGCACATGGGTGAATTCTCCATGGGGAATTCCATGGGAATTACAAATGAAATGAAAAAAAGATGTTATATGTATGTATAAATATATATATATATTTTTAAAGATTCTTTTATTTATTCATACACAACTGGGGTACAGGCCAGAGATGCGGAGGGTGAGAGGATTCACCAGTGACAGAGCGGGGAGCAGAGCAGGCAGATCAACAAAGTACACTGCTGAGGGGAGCAGCGGGCGGGTCAGGAGAGGTCTGCCACGCCATGTGGATCTCCTCCAGGGCAGGCGGGGATTGAACTCATGTAGAAGTGGCTTAAGCTTCTTAGTGCAGTGCTTTAACCCGCTGTGCCACCAGGGAGGGCATATATATATATTTAAGCAAGCTTTGGTGAAGTTTGCAATCTAGTGGAGGGAGACAAATGATAGCAAGGAATTTGCTACCTAATGAGATAATGTGTTATAAGTGTCTTGGAAAAAACAAAAGGTTGGACAGTATAAGAAAGATCCAGAATGCTGGGAGTGGAGAAAGGTTGTGAAGGGAGAACAGCTTTACAATTTTAAAAGTAGTGGTCAGGGAAGGCTAAAGTTGCTAAAGCAGCTTTTGAGCAAAGATTTAAAGAAGATAAGCCAGGTGGCTTTCTGCCTGGACACATACTCTGCTGTGGGGTGTATTTGACAGGTTTTGAGGAGCAGGAGACTGGAGCCAAGTTAGAAAGAGGAACAGAGAAGGTGAGGTCAGAGAGCCTTGTGGGGCCTCCTGGTGAAAGGCCTTTTAGTATGACTGAAATGGGCAGTCTCTGAGGAGTTAGCAGCAGATAAGAGGCAGGATTATCTCATACTTTTAAAGGGTGAGGAGAGGAAGAGCCTTTGGAGGGGGGCTATGGCAATCATCCGTACAGGGGCTCAGACCAGACTAGCAGCCGCTGGGATGGTGGAAGCGGTCAGATCCATGATGTACTGTGTGAGGTATCCCCTGTCACAAGGACCGCCAAAAGACCCTGTCCTCCCAAGGTATCCCATTGGCGAGCACCCCTATGCACCCCAACTTGACCTGACCACCTTCCTTGCCTCCAGCTTTGTCCCACCCACTTTTATGCAAACTACATGGTGGGTTTCAGGGACCTCTAGCCATCTGGGTCTGAACTGTGCTTCTGTGAAGGTGCAGGTTGGATGTGAGACTGAAGGGGGCAGTAGCTCCAACCTCCAAAGGCTGGACACGTGATGAAGCATCTGGTCTTAATTCTGTGGGCAGCAGGGATGAGGTCAGCTTCTGAGCAGGGATGGAGACTTAGGGCAAACGCCACATGAGGATGACTGACGGCTGTCAGAAAGAGCTGGTGCTGTCAGGGTGACTGGTACACAGGCTCACAATTTCTTCTCTCCAATGCCTACTTGCAGGGCCAGCTCCACCTCACGCAGAGTAAGCCAACGAGCTCCAGGTAAGTGGCACTGGCTCAGGAAAGTCTGCTAGCCCAGATGGCTCTTCCCCTTGGACTGACTTTTTTGTTTTGGAGGGCCTGGTAGCCCACTCTTTTTTGAGGCTATCTGCTTAGGGGAATGAAGTCCCATAAACACAATGTCAGTCTGAGGCCAGTAACAGAGAAGGTTCTAGCATGTAAGAAACAGTCCAGTACAAGTGAGAAGAAGATAGCTAAGAAGAACCACAAGGACAGCCAAGATTCTGACTCAGCCCACTATAGTGGGACAGGGAATAGTGTTCACAGGGTGGGTTGAGCAAAGGATAAACTTACTTTGGCTATTATTTGTGAGAGGGGGCTGTGGAACTGGCAGGTCTTGTGACAGCTAGTAAAGCTAGTTGCTGGTTTCTAAACTATGTTCTGCAGGTCCCGGGCTTGCAGAAATGTGACGTGAGGACAACTGCAGGGCCAGCCAAGCAGAAGATTCTGTACTCCCCAGCTCCCAGTGCAAATTATTCACCAGCTCTTATACCTGCTTCTAATTGGAACTGACTGTACTTGGTAAGAGGTTGGGGAGATTCTGCAAAGTCCAGGAGAAGCTACCTCAGCCCCGCATAGGTGCACTGTGGACTCAAAGCATAGGGCCCAAGGACATTACCAAGGGCCAGCATATGGCAGCAAGTGGAGAGGGCAGCCAGTCTGAGCAAAGGAAGAAGAACCTACTGGAGAAGAAAAAACCTGTGGGCTGAGGGGGTCACTCCTTTCACTGAGTCCACAAAGGGATCCTCATTAATAGCGACCAGTGCCCTGAGGATTTGTATTGAATTCATTCCTGTCTTTTCATGCATCTGCCTCCCCCTACACACACCTTGACTCTTCACACCCCTCCCACACCCTGCTCTGGGAGTTCAAAGGCAGACACTGGGTCTTAGTGTTTTCATATGCCTAGCCCCTCACACAGGCCAGAGTAGGCATGCACTGGCATTTGTTATAAATAATACCTAAGTGAATGAAGACCCAACCCCTGTGACTGGCATTGGGCAAATCTCTGAGGCGGGGTTTCCTCAAAAGTAAGTGAGAGATTAATACTCCCTCTCAGACTACTGAGAATATAGACAAGTAACAGGTGGCCAGCCACGTTATGAGCCATGAAGAGTTGTTCACATGTAGGTGGCTGCTGTCACTATCACTTAGAGAGGATGTGGGGAGGAGAGGGCAAGGCACTGAAGAAGGAAAGGTCGGAGCTCAACTGGACCCTAGAATGAGCTGCCCTCCAGGCAGTGTTACCTTGAAGAAAGAGTGCCAGAAACTCAAGAACAGAATCAATTGTTATGTGAGCATTCGGAATATTCTAAAAGTTCTGACTGTCCATCCAGAGAGAGAAGGCCTTGTGCCCAACTGCTGCGTCAGCATGCCTACCATTCAAACACCAAACAGAAAAATAGTAAGGCTGTTTGCGCTTCCAGTCCTCAGTCCAATCATCTCCCGACCTTACCCTCTCAGTTTCCTGGAGATGATGAACCTCAAAGACCATAAGAGCTGGAAAGGCTCTCTGAGGTTTTTAATTCCAGGCCACCTAGGGAGGGCTCCTTATGGCCTTCATTGAACCAGGTGCCAGTGAAAACCTCCTGTTCTCAGACCGGGATCCATCTCTGCCCACTGGCTCTACTCTAAGCCCCTGTAAACAATAACTAAAGCCAATCCCCCCACCACACACACACACATAGCAGATGTCACTCTCTCTGGGAAGGGTTACTTGGACAAGATAAAATACAAAATTCTAGTAAATTCAAATTTGACATAAATAATGAATAATATTTTAATATATGTATGTCCCAAATATTGCATGGGGCATACTTATATTAAAGCACTATTTTCTGTTCACACAAAACTTATATGTAATGGATTCCCATGCTTTTATCTACTAGATTTGACAACCATATGAACTCAAATCATGTGGTCAGAGGCTAGTCACTGTGGCATCTT